CACTTAATAAAAATATTTAAAAATAATTCACATAAAATAAATTGGCCAAACATATACAAAAACGCCTATAGGTAAAGTTCTACAGTACTTCACCTACACCTCATCACCGACCAAAGTTCATCACACGGTCACAGTTGTCCAGTAGTGTTTGAATTTTTATAATAATTGTACTAATCCGATTTATCTAAATTTCGGATGTGTGTACATATAACCAAGTCACACCAAAATAAAATATTAAAAATATAATAGACAATAAAATAATAAAATTACCCTTGAAACATTATAGGGTATTTTGTATAATTTATATTATTTTTTTTATATTTTATTCATGTGCATCTCACTAAGGCACACACATCTACGAAAATTTAGATCATTATGATTTGTAAAAAAAAATATTAAAATTCAAACTCTATCAGATATTTGTGACCGTGTGATAAACTTTGAGTAGCGATAAAGCCGTAGGTGAAGTCTATAGGCGTTTTGTAGTGTTTCTATATATATATTTGAAGTTTTTATATATATATATATATATATGAAAAAAAGCTAGGATTAGCCCACTAGCTTATATGAGCTCAACGGTCTAGATTGAATATGAGCCGATCTGACGTTCACGACTTCATTTCGTGCTTGAATTTTTATTTCTTTTCTACAAATCCAAATCACTTGAAATTTTATGTGTGTGTTTTTCTCATCAAGGTACAACTAATAAAAATATAAAAAAATTATTCGTAAAAAAAAAAAGATCAAAATACCTCCGAAATGTTTCGGGGGTATTTTGATCAATTTATTTAATGAAAATACTTTTTTGATATTTTTCGAAGATTCAAATATTTTTGATGAACATACTCCTAAAATTTCAAGTGATTTGGATTTGTAAAAAAATAAAATAAAATTCAAACATTATCAAACATCCGTAATCGTCAGATCGGCTCAAATTCAATCTAAACCGTTGCGCTCATATGTTCATATGAGCTAATGGGCTAATTGCAGCTTTTTCATATATATATATATATATATATATATATATATATATAGTAAG